GCAACAAACTATGCATTCAATTACAACATATACCACAACTTATCATTGCAGTGCTCCGACTCAACTACTTCACTGTCGGTACATCACTTATTGAGCAATTTCGCGGTGCACCTATGGGCTCGCCCTGCAGCCCAGCCCTATGCAACATCGTTGTTGCGGTCGAGGAACAGTGTTGGCACCACACATACAAACAGCTTTTCACGAACCACAAGCATTTTCCAGATCACAACAAGCAGGATCAAGCTTTCTTTTTTGCTACCAGATACGTCGACAACCGCGTCCTTCTTTTACCTGCACAGCTGACCCGACTGCCTCCTTTTGCACAGCTCACTGATGCATCTTTTTACAAACCACCGGTTCAGCTTGAAACTGAACCGGCCAACATTTTCCTGGGTTTCGCAATAAACCCTCAGCACAGCAGCCTTACGCATCAATGCACTTTGCACAAGGCGGATATTTTGCACCCACAGTCAGCCACCTCTGTTTCAACACTTCGCAGCAGTTTTCAGGCCCGCACACGCATGGTACGCAGAGTGACAACACCATGCAGCGAGGCCACATCAGCCATTCGAGCCATGCGCGATCTCTACATCGCTGCCGGCTATACTGATCAACAGCTGTAAGCAAAACACTGTGCCAGCTTGCCGTGCGTGGGTCCAGAGCCGTGCAATTTTGCAACATGAGAGCAGCCTTGTATTAACACAGTGTTTCCCGCAGCCATTTTCAGGGTTAACTGAGGCATCATCATGTATAAAAGTGCCATGACTGGCAGATTGCAGCCGAGCCACAAAGCGCTGAGCGGCCGTCCTCGGCCATCCATCTCCAAGCACAGCAGACGCCGCAACGAGCAACCTGCGGTGGGCAGCCACAACCCACAGCCGGCGCTTTTGCGCTCTCAGTTTCTACGTGTTGCAGAAGACGAAGATTTCCAAGACTACCAAGAGCAACACCAAGATCCGGAAGAACAACAGGACGCAGCAGTGGCTGCACCGGCGACTCCGCCATTTCCACCTCCGCATCACCCTGATCCGGATTCATCGGCTGAGATTATGGCAGCAATGACGCAGTTTCACAATTCGTTGCTTGAGTCGAATGCCAAACTCGAGCGCCTGATACAACAGGCTACAACGGTGTTGACTACTCAGCACGAGGCTACCACGGCGATCCTCTCCTCGTGCAAACAGCAGCTCGACGTACTTGAAAGCCTCATCAGGCAAAACGCGCCTGATTGGTCGTGAATATGCTGCTAAGGCAAGCCGGTATAAAAAGTGCCAGGTAGTGCATACGTCTCACTTTTCAACACATGTTGCTTTCAGACAATACCATAACTCTGCCTTCTGAAGTTTTGCCTCACAGTGACACCTATTTGAATCCCGACATCGAGCCATGAGCGACTCACCTCTTCCGCCAAACACAGCGACTACAGATTCGCCACCCGTCGATGAGGCACGACGTGAAGCTCTCTCCGCAGCCCTCATGGAGATTTTGACACAGCATCGGGACTATGAGTCCGAAACCGGAAGTGAACCTTCCACATTCAGTGACGAGGCTCTACGCGACCAATTAGCCGAGTTTATTCTGCAAACAACCCGGCAGATTACAGAGCTAAAGCAACGAGTGGAAAGACTCGAAGCTTCGCAACAATAGGTGATCAAACATGTTTTATACCACCATTGGGTGATTGCAGCAGACGGTGAAAACAACAATCGTTGTTTTGCCAAGTGAGACAGTCAGTGCACTCTCTTCACATGTGTTTGTATGCAGCGATTGATACACTCTTTCCCGCAGCATTTTGCAAAACAACCAGTTGTGTTAGCACCATGGACCAACGCACCAGATCGCGATCTCCCACGGCATCACAATGGAGATGGCACTGGGCCACTAACGGCTCTTCATGGTGGCGTGAGTACTTCATCGCATCTGCAGAGTGGATACGAAAGCATTCGGAGCAACCTGATCAGCTTCCGACATCAACGACTCCTACCCAAAAGGAGCCAGCTTCCACTACATCAACTCCTACATCCAACAAGAGAAAGCGATCAAGAACTCCGTGAGCAGCATCGCTGAGTTGACAATTAGATGCACATTTGCTGCCCCGGCAGCCAACAACCACACAGCAAAGCTGTGCTGTGAACCCCATCATCCCTGATGAGGGTCAACATTAAGAGCACCATGTTGAAAGGTCATGCCAGCCGGTGAGGTTGCCCAAGTGATGTATCTTTGTACATCTCTCTCTTTTTTCTGAAGATCAGCGTATGCACACGCCTTAATGCAGTTGTGACTCCGCAGCCATTTCTCAGAACTACAGTTGTTGAAACATATTTAGGATCGCACACAGATGGACGAAGACGACGACAGCAGCCTATGGGGATCCGAAGAGATTGATGCCTTTCTGAGGAAGGATGACACCGCCACATCCTCCCATGCAGTCAGTCACACACACAAGCAAAAAACAAAGCACACAACGAAGACAAAAAAGAAGAAAGACAACAAAGACAAAAAGGACAAAACAGTCGTGAAAACAAAGAAAACACGCAACATCTCACCAGCATCCCAATCCACAACACAGCAACAACACCAACATCCACACACTACAAGACGAAAGAGGACACGCTCTTCGCACTCAACATCATCAGCGTCACCTACGGCAACGTCACACATGGCTGAGGACGCACACCGATCTCCATCGCGAGATCCTTGGTCTTCTGACTCGATTGCACCTTACGATATTGTGCATCCTATTATTCAGCATAAGCGGTCCAAAACCGCTTGTGCAAAAATGCTGGTACGTGCAGGTTTCAGATGTAGATGCCATTTCAAGATCATGAGTGACTGTCCCAACAAACTCGCTGTTGGATCCTAATACTCAGGACGGATTAGGGCTGCAAGATCCGCTAAGCGTGACAAAAAGCCTGCGCATGCGAGTGTCAGCACGACACCACTTGGTTGTTTCTCCTGAGCACATAGCATGTCCATGTTGTTTTGCATTCCTTGTTCAAGCGTTTGTCGGTTGGTAGCAGCAAAAATATGACAAAGCGAAAGGCTGCCGAGGCCGGCCTTCCATGGTACTCCATGGCAGGACAATGTTTTCGGATGACTGTTGAAATTCCACCCGACCGCATCACCAGAGACAAGCACATGCTCTTACACGTGGTGCTTTGTCTGGGTGACAACGTTCTACAAGCTCGCAAGATCTTCTCCTACCGCATCAAGGAGATCACCGGCAGAACTCCTAAAATCCCAGCTTTCTTTTTCGAACAAAACCGTCGACGACTACATGATTGGGATTCAGTCACCACATTAGCCACGTTGAAGCCGGTGCTTTTTGTTAGAACCTGTTCGGATCAGGAAATACGACAATCACCCGACCGCTAGTGACAGCGAGAAAAGTGCGCCATTCACTCTTTTTGCCACGGATCAGACATTTCACTCTACTTGAAGCATGCACGCCCCATTGGGGCTGTGTGTGTGTGAACCTCCCTAGCACATGGGAGCAGAGGGTCACTCCTACACTGTTTGCAATTTTTGCTTTGCAACTCAATCAGACATTTGACATTTACCGAATCACATGTTGCAGGGGAGTGCGGCATGGCTGTGGGACCGCACTCAACGAAGCTACCACAGTCATGGGATACCGAGTCTGATCAACTCGGCGTACCTGCAAAACCTTGAGCTGGGGCCCCTGTGCCAGCCCGATTAGAAGGCCCCTGTGCCAAGATTAGAGAGTTTTCAGTTACCACTTTTGGCGGTTGATTTGACAACAAACAAGCTGTACGGTTGCCACAATCTGACAAGCTTTTACAACTTAAACAACATGCCTCTCTTTTTCCTCTTGCACTCGTACTCTTGGCCGAATCAGTGTGTGTGTGTGTGTGTGTGTGTGTGTGTGTGTGTGTGTGTGTGTGTGTGTGTGTGTGTGTGTGTGTGTGTGTGTGTGTGTGTGTGTGTGTGTGTGTGTGTGTGTGTGTGTGTGTGTGTGTGTGTGTGTGTGTGTGTGTGTGTGTGTGTGTGTGTGTGTGTGTGTGTGTGTGTGTGTGTGTGTGTGTGTGTGTGTGTGTGTGTGTGTGTGTGTGTGTGTGTGTGTGTGTGTGTGTGTGTGTGTGTGTGCATGCGCATTCTTGCGGACGAGCGATATACGCAGGACGAGTTTGTGGAAACACCGCCTTGGTCCTGGGCTCGAGATGAGCTGATGCTCGGCATCGATCCGGTAGGGGGAGGTTGGTCTGAAGGCTAAGACCTGTCGCAGGAGTGAAACCGACAGCCGGCCTTGAGCCTATCCGATTGCCATGCCGGAGAGAGACACACACCTCCGCACACCTAGCACCGCTGGCAACTTCTGAAGCAAGACCGTTTGCTTCCATCCGAGTTCGGAAGCGCCCGTATGCATGCGCCGTGCGCTGGGTAAGTTTTCAGGTCCGAAAGATGTATTCAAGAATTATTATGCTCGGAGTCGTGTAGAGAGACTGTCGAGGATATTGACCGGAATGTTTGAAGGCATTGAAGTAGAGCAACAATCGATTGCACCCGACCTCGAGCCCTGCAAAAGCAGCCACTTCCTTCGAAGGACTGAGTTTTACGGCATTCTGGGTCGGAGCGAACTCCGCTGCCTCCTTGACTCTCGTTTGGGTTTGGCTTGAATTGAGAGGTGCAGGAGCTTCTTCGTTGAAGGGATCGAGGATGGGTGTCACAGTCGGGATTGGGATCCAAGAAGGCCTAGTGTTCATCGCCGTAGGCAATGCGACAGAACGGTTCGAATCAGCTTTAAGACGTGCAATATGCACAGCGCACTGTTTCACCATCAGGTTCTTCTCCTCCGACAAAGTGCGAAGATCGTTGAAAGAGCAGCCTATGTTCTCACGCAGTTTGTATGTTCGTGCCCATGCCGTGAGATTTCTGATGCATGTTGGCCAGACATAGAGAGTCATGATATGGAGCAAAGCGGGTATTGTTGCGAGTTAGTTCTCGCCCGGGTTGTCGGCTCATGCATTAGTTAACTGGCCATGACTGGCCCCACCACGTCGAGGCCTGGCACTTTCTCAGAAGCGATCCTGCGCCCCGCAGACATGTCCTCCCGCCCTGCCACAACCTCCGAAAACCAAGACCCCAAGCCCATTTTCGGGTGTTAGCTTGGTGAAATACCGATCACTTTAAGCAACTTCCAGCAATGAGCGAGTCAAGTTTACTACGAATCTTCAAGCTCATTTTCCGAGGTTCAAACATTATCTGGCGAAGTGAAGGTGATTGCTTAGACTGCAAAAATGTTGACTTTCAGTCGACGACGGTATTGACAAGAACGTCTCCACCATGGCCACAATGAACTCGCATGGCTACACTGTTGCCTCATGATATGACCTTGCTGATGCTCGTTACCAAAAGAACAAGAATTCTGCATTGCTGTCAGGTCGTCGGGTGAATGGTCCTGGCGAGGTGGGCTCGTGGGTCTAGAGCGGACCGCCGAAGCCCTTCTGCTGTCATGCATCCATTCACATGAAGCTCTTGAAGCCTCATCCGTGCTTCAGGCATGCAGGCCGACTGTTCAGCTCCACTGTCACTAACAGCCCTTTTCAACAGCCGCCCTGCTTGGCCGATTCGGGAACATACTGTACGAGCATCAAGCAAGTTGCATGGCAAAGGGAGGTTCGTGAACCAAGAAGTTAACTGTCCAACAGCGTCTCAGTGCTCAGACACGTCGGCTCTTTGCCAGGCCGCGGCAAGCCACGCCCCGTGGCTCCGGGTTTGGTCGATCGCTACGGCGACCGGGCCGGTGACAGAGGCGACCGCGGCCGCTCCAGTGAGGCCACGGGCCATGGCTGCACTCCTGCTGCCTGCAGAAAATTTGGTTCCCCCTTACTTCCGTTGTACGTGAAGCCTCGCTCGCAAAAAGCGGAGGCTTCCTGGGAGACCTCGGATTGGAAGGCCCGGAGCCCAACGACTGCCACAACGACAGGTTTTTCGGTGCCTAGAAGCGTAAAAGTCGGGTATATAAGTATTTGGGGATGCGAAGCCAGTCCCGGGGCCTCGCACCCTGGGACACCTGCGACTGGGCTCAAGACTCTTCTGACGCAAGCTGTGGCTTTGCTTCCAAAGTCTCCTTGAAGTCTGGAAGTCGGAAGCCCGAATCTGGCAATCAGCTTCGCTGCGCAAGGGTTGGGAGTATTTGGGAGCGATCTGAGGCGAAGAAGTCCTCGTGGCCTTCAGCCAGGCCAGCCGAGCTACTCGGTTGTTGCTCTATTTGTCGGGAGACTGCAACAGACTAGAAGCACACACTCGTGCAAGCATGTGCTTACTTGCTATTTAACCTGGCATGCCTGCGGAATTCAGCAATGGCATGCCTGCGGAATTCAGCAATCTACGTAGAGACATCATGTGGAGGTCTTTCCACAAAACAATGAACCCAGTGCCAAAAAGGGAGCCCTCTGTATTCTCAGGTTACTGGGAATCCTAGATTATGTACTAACTATTGACACTACCGGCTGAAAAGCAGGAACTAGAGCTTCCAAACCGCACAACACTGTTCGGGTGCAACAGTATCCCTGCAACATCTAAAGGACAGCAAAAAGCCTTGAAGTCCTATCCGAAAGCGCGCCGTCAGTCGAAGGGAAGGCGCCTTTGGCGACTGGATCAAAGATTTTCAACAGAGAAGACCAGCGGGGGTATTCCTGGAACGGGGCTTTTGGAGTGGTCTTGTACTGCTCGTTTGTGCACGTAGGTTGGCACATGCTCTTGCAAAGATCTTCGACAAGCCCTGGAGGGACTCTCCACGGTTTTGTGGCCTCGCTGACATAGTCACAGAGACACTTCGAGGAAACAGTGTGGGTGCTTCGTTTCTGTGCAGGTGTTCTAGACTTCCGCTCTTCCCAGCCACAGGGGAATGCGGAAAGGTTCTCTTTACCATCGGGTCGGGAAGGCGCATGGTGATCATGCCACCCCAAACTCAACCAAACCCAGGGATTCAGAAGTACTTACCTAAAAAAGAAGTACTTACCTGAGCGGGCACGGGTCGCAGAGCAAGCCGGACTTCGTACTTCATGCTACTTCGCTATAGTTATTCTGGTGTCGTGAAGCATGGGACAAGTACTTAGATGTGGATTGCCGTGACTTCGACCAGAGCTTATTTGGTACGGGCTGTTGCCGATATGTGTTGGGCAGGCAGTAGGTAGCTTTCGTACCGTAGTCGCTGATATTTTCGGCCTTGAGCCTTGAGCAGCGGCAATGGTTACTTAACATCTTTTGCGCTCCCACGTTGGCATTGTGCGGCAAACTCGCGCTTTCTTCACTTGCACAAGTTTGTGTTTTTCCGTGCGACTGGCATCTACGCCACCCATCCTGGTGGTTCTCCGAGAACAGGATTGGTTCAATGTAAGAACATGGCTCTGGCAGTGTTGCGACGGCGACGGCTGAAGCATTCACACGAAAGCGCAGGTGGGAGTCAGCTGTCAAACACAGACACAAGGAGGCCGGGTTGGGCAGGCTGAAGACCTTGGAATAGGACCCGTCCTGCAAGCTTAACGACAGCTCTGCACTGATCTAGCTTCAAGCAACTGTGCAACATGTCCTACAAAAGAGATTATATATAGTATTAAAGTTTTTATATACAACACACTAAACTGAGGACTTAAAGCATTGTGAAAAGATCTTGCCGCAGTTGTGCATCCAGTTCCAAGGCCTGAGTTGCCCGTCGGCTCTAGAGGATTATGTTCTCGGACCTTCGATCATTCGAGCATGTGACAAGCATTGCTGGCTCCACGCGCCTTCGCCCAAACCCACAAGCTGACATCCCCGAAAGCATGTGCATCCCACCGTGCAGGACTAGATGTGGCAAGCCCTCAACAGACGACGGAAACAGTCGGAGCAGCCCGCCTGACATCTCTTCCCTAAGCTCAAGAAAAAGCCTGAAATCCCAAGTCTGCAGTCGTGGCCGACCCTCTGGGGATGGTGGAGTTCGAACCTCGAGCTTTGAGTGGAGTTTCTGACAGAGCGCTGGGCAGAGACAGGGAGCGGGCGACACGGCAAGCCGCTGAATATGGTTGCAGCGACGATGCCGCCCAGGGTTTGTCACTACTTAGTCGGTTCGGGCTGACTAATGTCATGATCAGATGACAGTACGGCGAAGATGCTGGTCATGAAGACGAAACTGATTATGATGGTGGCGGTGACGACAACATGCATGACGCTGGCATTGCTTGGTTCAACACCGTGAGTAGGCCAATTCTTCTGGCTACAATGATTATGGTGTTGCCACAGAAGGAAGTGCTAAAGACGTTACGGTGAACGTACTGCAGATCATCAGTAGCGACGACACGCGACGACCAAATGCCGGAGTCTGGAGAACAGTGCGTCGGGGGTGCTGCTCTCCGAGGTCGATCGTCCGGCGGCTGGTATGGGCGTTCGGCCACTCAAGGACTGTTGGGCAACTCGGGATTGGAATTTGGCACTATTTGGTACGTCGCCTGGGTCAACTTCACAAAGTTAAAGCACCCGAGACATGGACGTGTGCGAAGTGGCCTCCATGGAGCGAGCCATGGGCTTGCGAACTACACCAGTGACTCTGTAGGCGAACTGCACACTCCATTCAAGCCTGATGATTCTATCTACTTCTCATGTGGATGATGGCTTTGCCCGGTTGAGTTATGCATCACAATGCATTATCTTCGGCCCTGGCCTCTCACCTCTGCGAGGCCTAATATGAGTAGGTAGCTTCGCCGTCCATCATCAGCAAGAGCGAAAGGGTGCCGGTGCCGTTATCGCAAAACAAGCTGGATCCACGAGCAGTCTGAGCCAGATCTGACAGCGACGCGATACTGTCTGTCTACTGTCTACTTGCGCTGTTGGGCATTCGCAGGTCTCCCTATATCCGGTGGTCTTCCCTTGTCTTGATAGGGATACTGTTTAGGAACTGAATGCTAAGATATGCAGACACGAATGATTTCACGTCTGCACATCCACACAACTTTATCTGTCTGTCTATATCTCTACCTTTGATTCGTTCATTTTCTGTCTATCTAGCGGTCTATAGCTAGCTTCCTAATTTCCCACATAACTAAGTATGCATGCATGCACTTAGGCGTGGATGAAAGGAAGGAGGTTTGTTTGTGCATGCATGTATGCCCGCATGTATGCACGTGTGTGCGTATGTATGCACGTACGAGAAGATGTGTGCACGTACTTATGTGAATGCATGTAGTTATGCCATGCATGTATGTATGCAGCAAGTATGCAAACGTATGTAGGTACTACTGTGTAGATGTGTCGAATCGTCGGATCATATGCTTGTTTTTGGTTGCGAGGTGAAACGAAGACTGGGGCATGTCTGCTTTGCACGGGCGACCAAAACTAGTGCAGCACTGCTGTTTCGTTTGATGCAAGCACCAAATCTGTAAGTCCCGTAGGATCTTTTCCCGGAAGGCTACTTCCCCGCCGGCTGTTTAGATTGAAAGTTACATTAGTTTGCTTCGGGCCTTCTCGTGGAATTTTTGTGGCACCTTGACGATGAAGCTATTGCTGTGCCTGGTTCTCGCCCTCGGCAACCTTTGGACTCGCTGTCATTCCATCTCGAGCGGGGGTTTTCATATTCGCAGTGCAAAGCATTCCCCGCTTGTTTACCCTATCCCCTTGGCTGAGCGGTGACCAGTTTTGGACTAAAATTCATTTGTTGTACCCAGTCGTTTTGGGCTGGGCACAGCAAGACCACAACCGAAACCCCAAGCAACAGTAATCAAGGGTACACGCTTTCATGTCCTCTGGAAGGCTAAGATGCTGTAGTTCCATACTAGTAGATGTGTGACGGCTTCAGAAAAGCCTCTTAATCTCGAGGTGTTTCTTCCTGCTCGTCTCCCGTCCTTTCATTTCTTTTGTGGCAATGATATACGGTTCGTAACAGGAAGCAGGGCAGCGCCGCTTAACACTGTAGTCCGATGCGCAGAGGACGTGAACAACAGAAGGAGCCCGCAAGAGAAGCAGCACGCCAGGGGCTTGATCCTCCAGGGTCGGAAGTAGCCTTGCAGATCCGGATGCGAAGCATAAGGGTTCTTGCATCCGGCTTTTGGAGTATGTTGGATATGTGGTTGCTCCGGGGTCGCATTAAAATGCCAGTGCCACAAGGCATTCGCTGACACGCATGTACAAGCTTAGACAGCTACCCGCGTGCCCAAAGAAGACCGTGACCCCGCTGGAGGTAGAGGTGAGCCACATCTATATAGAAATATGTAAATATCTCCGAGCACTTCTCAACCAAACCAGCGAGATTTGACAGCTGCTCCCCGGCTTCTCCACAACTCCCGTCACACGTTTTACGTGATGGCTCGATATGCACAAGGCCCAGGGCATAAACCCTTCGTGCACAAGAAAAGCTGTCACCTGAAGCCAGGAGAACTTTGCACATTCAGGAACTTTAGCGAATGGGAAGCCCAGGGAACCTGGTGCCTGGCTTCGAGTCGTGCATTCCATAAAGCCGTACTTCGCCCATTCTTCAACTAAGTTTGCGGCCACGTCTGGGCAGCACTTGCACAACACAGGCGTTTGGATAAACCTCCACATCATATTGCTCGCCTGGATTTGGCTCAGGCTCTTTCGATGGTGTTGGCCCCTGGGATCGGCGCAACTACGACTCCCACGAAAGAGGCCTCCTGTGAATTCGAAAATATAGAGGAATCAAGTTACCAGCAGACGTGCGCCTAAGCCCTAAGTCCTTGTTGCATCTCTTCCGTGTCACGCTTGGCAGCTGTGCTGTCAAACTTGTGCAATCTACGGACCAGCGCATCGTATCAGAAGTTTGGGGTGCCGTAGCATTTTGTCATCCCGGGAGCAGTATGATCACGTACTTGAGCATGGCCTGGCGAAAGATGCTGGACAGACTAGACTAACTAGACCCAACTTTGGGCTGCGAGTTTGTTTCTCGCCCAGCACGAACGCGAACTAGACTCTTGACCTCGTCAAGAAACGCAAAGCGGCTGTTTGTTTTAAAGCTAAGCTGCCTTCGCCTTCCACACGGTGCGGCCATACGTGGCCAGCTAGTTGACGGATCATTCAACACAGCCCTACCTTGAAATGCTGCAAGAAGGACTTTTGTGGGATCGGTCGCTCAAGCACTTGGTCAAAGGGGAAGATGGTCAAACACAAGCTTTGCAGGGTTCATATTGGAGCGACAGCAAGCGCTTGCATACAACAGACACCTTGCAGCGACAGTGTGGGATGCGCTGCTGCGTGCTGCGCTTCAAGTTGCCTTCCTGACAACATGTGTTGGCCCTTGCATTTTGCCCGCTCTAAGATTGTCTGAATCTGTCGAATATCAGTTTGCCACTGGTTGTGACATGGTTCCTGAAGAAACACCCGACGAATGTGTGCATGATATGCAGACATCTGCAGATCCTTGATCTAGAAGCGAGGCCGAGAGAGTCGCCGGTTGACCTGGCCTGGGCACGGCCTTCGGTTGATCCCTGCTGCTTAAAAGGATTCAAACCTGCTGGACAAGCTCTTCCTGCCTAGTGTGTAAATCGGGGAAATGCCTATGTTAAAATAAAAGGCTTCCATAGCTGTCCATCCTTTGAGAAAGCGGCATCGAGCACCAGCCATGTGAAGGCGTTTGCAAGCGCATGGCGGCCCTCCGGTGGGTGACAGAGGCTCCTTGAAGTCTGGCCAAGGTCCTACATGCCTTTTGCCCCCTACCTGGACCTGCTTTCGCGGAGGCACTCGGATCTGCAAGCGGAAACGGGAAGGGTTTTCTTCACACCGTCCCTGAGACCTTCCGAAACCACAACTATCCAGGCGGCGTGCTCAGTCCTCCCTGGAGGCGCAGAGCTCTCTCAAGTATGTTTCGTGCCACTTGCAGCTTAAAGGCATTTCGCGATGGGTTTTGGGTTCCTCAGTTTTGCTGGAGGCTCTGGATCTTGGCTCATACGCTTTCTTGGGCACGCGTTACCATGAACTGAGGTTGTTCATTTGCTACACGCTCGTTTTATCATTCAGCTGTGCCACTTGCCAGACAAGCTTCAGAGAAGGTCTCGTACTCCAAGCCGTAGTCCATGTCGGACAGTTTCGAATCTGTAGCAAAACCACTTCGCTGCTTTCAGCCGGCCCAAACGTTCCTATCTGGAGACTAGAGTTGATTCTTGACCTCGCGACTACCCAATCACTCACCCTATGGCAGACCCTGGATCTTTCAAGCGCGCGCGAGGCGGTCCCATGCCTCGGCGACGAGACCGTCCTAGAAAGATGGCAGGACGAAGTAGAAACTCTGAGCAAAGAATGAGGGCTTGGAGGGGACGTACTCGAACGCTGTGGTGCTCAGGATTTTAGGGTTGGCGTTTCGTTTCTACTTTTTCGTGCTTCGGAACTGCTCGAGCAGCAACAGCAACATATGTGTCGAGCAATGCCTAAACGGCCTGCACCGCCCAGAGACCTTGGCTGGCAGGAGCACATCGAGGCGAGAAGCTGTTCGTTGGAGTTGATGACGCTGTGATTCCGCAGAGCGAAAGCAGTGCTTCTGAAAAGCAAAACTTTTGCAGGATCAGCAGGATCAGACAACCGCAACTTGACAAGGTTTACGCAATAAACAGAGGAAACCATCGCGATCCCCACCCGCGGATCGCCCACCCCATAGGTGGCGAAACTCAACAGCTGCTTGACCAAGCCAGCACTCACAGCCAGAGAGAAACCTTGCAGCACAGGCACAGCACCACCGATTCTCTGGAAGTGGTCCAGGGCTGTTACATCAAAGCTGGTTGAAGTGACTTAGGGAAATCGAGTTGTTCATGGCAGAACTGAGGGCTGTGGGGTGCATAGGAAAAGGCAACGGCCGAGGTTAGATCCAGTGGGCCAGGTTGGCTCCCTAATGCCGGCAGGCACACGTTGGCACCTGACTCATCTCGACAAGCGGTACAATGCGTGCTAACCCTGCCATAACTGCAGCCCTCAGGTCAGAGGCACGAGAGATCAACAGCAAAAGGAGGTAACGAGAAGCGCATCTGAGGCCAATAACTCCATCGCTGCAGCCTTTGTTGAATTCTACACTTTGTACAGTCCTTCATGCTGCAGACTGGAGTCAAGGTTGCTGTTGCAAACCATTGAAGCTATCACCGACGTCGCCACCATCAGATTTGTTCAACGTTCTATTCACTTGACTCTGTCAGGTGTGCATTTGTTGAACATGACACCCGATGGCATGATCTCTATCGCCACCATCATCATCACCGCTGTCAAAATCAGCTACTGTACACCATGGCAACATGAACATGAACGTTGACATCAGCATCGGCATCCTCGGCATCAGTTTTCCTCGGTCACCATCATCGCCACCAGAAGCAGCATTATCATCATTAACACCGTCATCTGCAGCAGCCCCATTCCTGCAGAATGCAGACTTACAGTACTATAACTGGCCAAGATGTGAACCTCTTCAATTAGCGTGGTTACCTTACAGTTGTCGCAACTGTTACCGGTAGGGAATTAGGCACCAAGCTCTTCAGGCGTTCCTGCTCCAACTAATAGTGGAAAGCAAACCATGGCTTTCCAGTGTGGGCCAGCGGAGGCCTCCCCGGACCCAGAGGGAGAAGCGAAACGCATTCACTGGCTTACCAGCCGCCTGCACATGCAGGGCAGCCCAGTACTTGCAATGAGTAGCGACAGTCGCTGATGCGCAGCTTCCAACTTTCATCGCCCTTATTGATATCAGCAGCAACAGCATGTTTCAATCCTGCCATGTCACTCTTCACTGCGGTAGTTGCCATGCGTCCTTGCGCGTAGCCAGCCGGGAAACTTCCAAGATGCGATCTCGATAGGAGCTGAAACATCCACCGTCTCAAATCGGTTTGCTGCGGCTACAGCATCTCTCTCACACATATACTCCTGCATCAATGCTCTTTTGTACATAATTACGCAGATGCAGTTTTTGTATGATCATGCATATAGCATGCATGTGTGCATGTGCACGCGGTTACCTATGCCTGCATACTCGCTCTTGCAACTTAGCACTTATCAGTCTTTACAAGTACAGGTGCAGCAGGGAGAGGGTGCTGAGTCCAGTCCAAACTGGCACTTAGCGGGATCTTTCGGTGCACTCGGGATCCCGTTTCACGCTCCCCTACAGAACCCAGCGGCATGGGTGGGCGCATGTTCTGTGCACACAGATTGAAAATAGAAAGCAACCTGTGCCACGTAAATGTGTATGTATACATACATACATACATATACGAATGAATATATATATATATATATATATATATATATAAGTGTGTTGTGTGTGTATATATATATGTGCATATATTAATTATAGGGGGGAGAGAGAGAGAGAGAGAGAGAGAGAGAGAGAGAGAGAGAGAGAGAGAGAGAGAGAGAGGGAGAGAGGGGTAGCCATTTTGGCTCAAGGCCGTGAGTGGTTCAAGGCTCGAGCCCAAGCAGTGAGAGAGAGAGGGCCTCAAACCGGGGTTCCTGTGAGAAAGTGCAGAGAAAGGGGCGCAATAAAGTTCACCGGCACGATCGCTGCCCTTTGCGTCTACACCGTGCGGGTTGCTGCCGGGGAACTCGTGGTGTTCGGAGCTCATCGTGACCCGTGCGCCGAACATTCGGGAGATTGTCAACCGCACCTTGCGGGGGATCGGCGAACCTACAGGACATCAGCCGCTACTACACGATCCGCCGCACCGAGACCATGGCGTCTGGCAAGGGGGACGCATCAGGCGCACCCTCTAAGAGAAAGGCCGAAGAGAACCCCGTTGACGGCCAGCCACAGAGTCTGTCCCTGGACTTAATCCGAGAAGCAATCCGGGGAGAGATCAAGGAGGCCGTGGGGGAGTTCCGTCACGACATGCAAACAGTCAGTCGGCGAGTGGACTACGTGGAGTCCCAGGTTAGGCAGAAGATGCAGCAAACCCTCAACATGCTTGACGAAATGTCGACACGTGGACAAAAACAGGGGGAGATCTTGGAGCAGCTACAGGAGGCCAACCGTGAGTTCCACCACAGAATCTCACGTCTCGAGAAGGGCGGGGGAAGCGCTGTTGGCTCAGCTGATTCCACTACAGCAACTACTTGGGAGGGGAACAAGCCACCAGCACTGGTCATCGGGGGATGGGATGCCGATCAAGATGCAGCGACTACAAGGGAGGAGGCGGAGAACATCCTACGAAGTGTGGAGGCACCAATCCCAGTCCAGGGGATGTTTGTCCCTGGTGTCCACAGAGGATACGCTATTCTTCCTGTCGACGAGCGCATCGGGGAAACCTGGGAACACCGCAAGACCCGGATCCAGGACACCATCAACAAAGTGAGGGCGGCCAATGTCCAGTTGGGGCAGAGACCGGACGGCACTTCTCGTAAAGTCTGGATCGCGCTATCCCAGCCACCAGAGAAGAGACGCCGAGCGAGACTTGCAGCAAAAGTAAAACGCCTCTATTTGAGCCTCGGCGGGGACAGGAACCTGCTACAAATGGAGTATGGAAGCGGCAGTGCATGGATCGACGCCCACAAAGTGTGCTCAGCCACCGCCCCGCAGCCCCCCAACACACTGGAAGCTGGACCTGGATGGGTGGACCTAGACTGCATTGCCAGAGCAGTTGGCAGAAGCAAGACGGCGGTGGAAAAAGAGTGGACCCCGCTGGCAGCGGAGATCCACTGAGATGGGGAAGGCGGCGTGTTTCACCAGCGGGGGAACGGGGAACCCGTTACCACCAAAATGCTGACCGTTTTGACTTGGAACGTCGGGGGGATCACTGCAGAAAAGCTGCTGGACGCCTCCGAAACCTTCCACAACGAGACGCTATTCCAACATGGAGAGGTCTTCATGCTGCAAGAAATCATTACTGCACCTGGCTTGTTTCACATGGAGAACGACCGTTGGCAACTTGTTTACGGTAAGACAGAAGGAGAGTTCAGGGGGGAAGGGGTGCTCCACACCAACCGCTTCAAACACCAACAGAGCAGTGTCATGGGGGGAGGGGTGGCAACCACGCTTTCACCCACCAGCGGGGGACAGTCCTTCCGTGTCCTTGTTGCCCACCTTCCACACCACGCCACCATCCAGCAAACAAGCATCCTCCTTCAAAGTTGGGAACAAAACCTTCGCTTCGAGAAGCTGCTGGTGGGGATCGATGCCAATGAGACCTTCACTAAGCCCCGGCCCGGAGCCACAGGTTGTACTGCCACTACAGCCAGGGGGGAGCTCCTCTTGCAATGGGCCCAAGATCTCCGGATGAAATTTCCGCCACAGGAACTCGACACCCCAAATTACCACCCATATAACCACCTACAGCAATCACGCAGGTTGGATTACATCCTGTGCCGAGGTATCATGACAGCCTCTGGATCAGTCGCTCAGTGCCGCGACAGACTGGCGTCCGACCATGATGCAGTCGTGATGGAAATGTACGAGAGCCGACAACAAGTCCGTCAGAACATCACCTGGGGGCCCCGGCGACTTCGGCCGGACAACCAAGTGCGCCAGTTGCTCAGAGTGCCACCACCACGGGGGGAAGATCCACACCGCACCCTTGCAGCCATTGCTAAAGCCATCACGGTACCCGGGGGAGATAAACAGCACTTCCAAGAAAGTTCCGCGCTGAAGCAGTTGAGACGAACAGCCCAAACACTGCCTGCGGGGGCAGGAGCAAAGCAAGCATGGAAGCAAATTAACAAGCTGAAGCAACAAGAGCAGCGTGCATGGAAGCAGACCTTAGCCAACAAAGCAGCCAACTTGGATTGGAATGCACTCAGAGCCCTACAGCAAAAGGATGCAACTAAGGGATGGCACCTTCAACTTCAAGATGATCCAGATTGGCAAGAAAAACTACGAAAACACATGGGGGGATCTTCGCTAAACCGCAAGGAACCACCAAAAGCAGCAACCGACTTGAAGAACTGCGACAGCTTCTGAGGCGAAGATGCAAACGCACTCCATGGACACCCTTTGCGCTGGGGGAGCTCAACATTACAGCCAGCAAGTGGGCAAGCAACAAGAGCACGGGACCTGATGGTATCTCCCACGAGGCAGCAAAAGCCCTGATCCTTGACGGGGAATGGGCTGATCGGGTGCTGTACTTGCTCAATGACATGTTTTACACATCGAATATTCCCGGGGGGATAGAAGCCAGCATCACTGTGCTTTTGCCAAAAATCCCAAGACCACTTCAATGGGGGGACACGCGTCCCATCACGCATATCTCTACGCTTCTGAAGTGGATCGCACAGCTCCTGCTTCATCGAGGGGGTGATGCAATCCGAGATGGGGGGGAAGGCGTGCAGTGGGCAAGAAAGGGGAGGCAAGGCGTGGAACTGGTCGCTATCCTAAGACGGGTGGTGCAGATGTCGCGTGATTGGGGGGTGGGAACATGGATTGTCAAATTAGACATCCGAAAAGCGTTCGACACCATAGCTTGGGGGAGTTGGTTGCCGCACGGGTGGGGGGAGTGGGATCAACCAGATGGCCAGCCCCACAGGATGGGGGAGACAAACCATGGGAAGCCCTCTTGTGGATCAGTCTGTTGGAGACCAGAGCAATCAACGTTGCCCTCGCCAACACCATCACACCGGTCAGCCAATCGAACGGCATCCGACAAGGTTCACCCGACTCACCGGACCTCTTTGGAGCAGTCGTGGCGAGAGACTTAGCAGCAGCCATCCGCAAAGCACCCAGACAACCCATAGATGCCCAAGGGGGGGAACCACCTCCCCAGAGCGGGGGAAGTTTCCTCGATGACACCTACCTATGGTCGCAGAACAAACATCACCTACAAGCCTTGTTGAACAACCTCGAAGCAGAGCTGCTCGAAGATGGGCTACTACCAAAACTGCGATCCTCCACAGCACAGCAGAGACCACTGACTCCTTCGAGATTGGCGGGGAAAAAGTGAAGGCACAACCCTTTGGTACGATCATCAGTGTACTTGGTTCCCCCCTCACATTTGAGGACCAAGTCGCAGCCATTGTGGGGGAAATGAACCGCCGAGCCCGGCAAGCCTTTGCAAAGCACCATGACGTCCTGGTAGCACGCACAAGTTTTCGCGCTCGAACCAAAGCACATCTGACACTGGTGAGGGGGGCGGCGCTATACGCAGCAGAAACATGGCCGGTCAGCCAAAGCTTGCTTAAGGCAGTCAATTCCACCCAAACAAAGCACATTCGTGCAATGCTGCACCTGCAGCGCCGGCCCACCGAGGCATGGGCAGAATGGCATATTCGCACACTCCGCCTTGCGAGAGTCTACATCCAGAGGGAACACATCCAACGATGGTCCAGCTATGTGCTGCAAAGAATATGGGGGTTGTGGGGGCACATCTCCAGGGGGGGACCAGCAGTTAACAGCATGGTCACATGGAAAGACCTCAAGTTCTGGAGAGCAGAGCAACAGAAACCGCGCAACAAGCGCGTCAATCACGCAGGGCGCTTCAACCCAGAGGGGGACGTTGAACGGGCACTTGAATGCATTGCCGGAACGAACTGGGGGGAGGTGGCAGCAGACCGTGCCAGATGGAATGACCTTGCCAGCCAGTTTGTTGAGCGCTTCGACGTACCCTGGGCAACGGGCAAACAGCCAAGCATCCAGGACAACCTCAGCCCGCATTCTCGACATTCGCAGAAGTCCCAGAGCAGTCTCCCACTCGGTGGGGAAGGAAGCCAGCACCAACAAAGCCGGGGAAGGGGAAGAGGGCGGATGATGGAACTCACTCCCTGACAGCCTCACAGACCCAACCCTTGGGGGGATGGTGGCTGCCGCAATCCTTTCTAAAGTGGCGGAGGGATTTGACTTGAAACACCGTTGGGGGGGATGGGGATGCGCGAGCTCCCTTCGACAGAAGAGGAGAAAAACAAGACAGCAACAGAGAGAGAGAAACAGGGACCGCTGCTTGGAACAGACACAACAGCACCACCACGTGGTCCGTCGTTCGTCTCCCTCAACACTCACCAGCAACCACCACCACCAACACACCGCAACAACAACTACCTGCCCTTTGGATGCACTTGGATTGGGTTATGAAGGCAGCCAGCGCTCACTCAAGCCACGAGACAGGATAGCAAAGATGGCCACAGGCAGCAGCGGTGCCGACGCTGCACCTCCACGAGACGCTCCTGCGGGGGACTCAAGCTCAGAGGGCGAGAGCCCAGAAGCGGACCACCCTTTGCGGGGGAACGCCTCACTGCGACAACAAGTGAGGCGGCAGATCCGACCTCTGTACAACTTTTCGTGGAAAGAGGTCGACCTGGTTTGGTCGAGGTCGAAGCAACAACTCTGCAAAACACCGGAGCTTGCGGAGGGGGAGGACTTCTACGCGCCCACGGCTGAGGAGAAAGAAGCCATCGCAGACAACCTGTACAACATGGCTTACAGCTCTATGATGGCAATGGAGCTCTATGGCGAAGCCGGGGGGAGCGCCACAGTCCTGCAACTACTCCGTGAAAGCCCGACCGCGGCAGCCAGCCTTTGGTGTGCCGTCAAGATCAGATGGCCGGAGGAGCTGAAGCTGAAAGCGGGGGAACTGGAACGGCTTATGCGCCCCCAGTCTCCTGCTGCCGAGCAAACCAACCCTGAGAACGAGAAGGGCAACAACACGGGGGAGACCAAGGACCAGGAGACCGAGAAGGACACCGACACGGGGGAGGCCAAGAACCAGGAGAACGTCGAGGAGAAGAACGTGAGCACGGCGACCAACGAAGAGGGGGAGACACAGCCCAAGGACCCTCCCAGCTCAAGCGGGGCGAAGATCAAGGAAGAACCATCGCCCGACTGGAGTGACCTGTCGCAAGACTACGTGGTCAAAACACCACCATACTTGGAGGGGAGCGGGTCAGAAGTCGATTATCCGAGCCTCCGCGACCCACGCAATGACAAGGGGTGGTCTACGCCGCCTCACCTCTTCAATGCAGTCAAAACGATGGTGGATGTGACAGACCCGTCAGACGATGCGCTGTGGGCTGTTTTCCGGACGTCCGCCATGTACACTGAGCAGACAACGGAGACCCGAGTTGGGGGAGAAGCGGCGGAGACAGCCGCCGCGGAAGCCATGCTGCACAGAGCCATCGAAGAAGTGGACGCCGAAGCTGGAGTGGTAGAGGTTGCTGTCGAGCCGATGGGGGACAACCAGCACACCTCCATGGCGGGGGAAGCCGGGAGACAGCTCGGCCGGGCTATTCACGATCGCAAGCTACGCGAGACAGTGGTCATTGGACGCAGCACGTCACACCAAGCCCGGTCTTTGCGGGTGACACGCCCAGCCAGACCAGTGGGACTCGCGGCCAAGCTCCTGGTGGTCGCGCGCAGTGCGGACAGAGCACATGCGGGACAGCCAGTACTCCACGACTTCCCGGGGGAGCAGAACCTTCCCAGCTGGGGGGAAACCGGAAGACGACCAACGACCACCTCTGAAGCGCCGCCGAGTGAGTAGCAAGCGCCACTGAGTGTGGCGATGCGGATGCCTCAATGTTGTCGATGTTGTTAGCTTTTGTTTGTGCTTTCTTGTTGGGGGAACAGTGCACCGCAAGTCTTGACCCGCAGCCGGTAGTTCCTTTGCAAAAACAGTGGCCGGGGGACGCAGCCTACATGAGCAGCGACCTTAGCCTTACCCTTTCAGTGTATCCCTTTTTGGATTCGTTCGGGGGAAGCGTAGTGTACCTCAATCGTGACCTCCTTGAGTTGATATGAGCCTGCTTTTCAGTTTGGGAGAGCTGCCAAACATGACATGCCCTAGTCTGCATTGTATGGATATCTTGTTGCACGGTCATGTGGCAAACCCACTTCTGAAACATGCTTTGTAATTAGTTTGGGTAGACCTCTAAAACAGGGGGAGACGCCACTTTCTGAGACAGCAACTGAACACGCTTTTGTATAGAAGTCTACATGGAATGTTGGGGCTTGAGGAAGATGTTCAGTGCTTGTCATGCAGGTGGTCGCGGTTAAAGTACAGCCGAGCCCTCCTTGACTAAGTCATGGGGGGAGGACCTAAACCCTGCGGACTGCAGGTGCGCGTGCGCGCGCGGAAGGGGTAGCGTCCGCTGCATCTTTCTTACCTGGCAGAGAGAGAGAGTGAGAGAGAGAGAGGAGAGAGAGAGAGAGAGAAAGAGAGAGAGAGAGAGAGAGAAAGAGAGAGAGAGAGAGAGAGAGGAGAAGGAGAGAGAGAGAGGAGAAGGAGAGAGAGAGAGGAGAAGGAGAGAGAGAGAGAGAGAGACAGTGAGCTCTACGGGGTAGAGGTCTGGCTCGTTGACAACACGTCTCACCCCGGACACGAACAGTGGCATAGCGCTCGCGCGCAGGGGATGTGGGGCCTGCCTCACACCCCCAGAGCAAGCAAGCAAGCAAGAGAGAGAGAGAGAGGAGGACTGCTCCCGCTCCAAGCCCCTAGCAAAGCAAAGCAAAGAGCGAGCGAGAGATATAGGTACGTATTTGCACACGTTATACGAACATGTTTGAGTCCGGAACGCGAGGAAGCTTGCTGTGAAACTCACTCGCGCGCTGTCCGAGGCAAGGCTTCAACAGGGTCGAAGATGTTTTGCCCTTTGACGAGGCCGACGTTTTGCACTTGTCAGTAGAACGGTAGGGATGTACTGCATGCCTCGTATTCATCACTCGATGGCGAACTTTGGCACTTTTCAACATCCATGATCCTTTTGAGGTAGTCGGGCAGATCGTAGGTGAGCCGAGGGAAACGGTTTTTCTGCTAATGCGGACGCAGGCATCGCAGGCACGTAGCTTGATCAACACAGATACGAACACTCACACGTCGATGTCACCCGACAGCGCATCGTTGACTACGGATATCTTCGCTCTTACTCCAGACTTCCACTTTGGGTGTGAGCTTGTCGGTTGCCTGCGCACGGGTGAGAATGTGTTGTCTTAGTTGCGTTTCTAGTATTGGTTTACCGTTTGTCAGACTGTCCGTGTGTTTGCTCGCGCACCTTGGCATGCATACCTTTTGTTTGTTCACATGATACCATGAAGATGTAAGCACTTCCCCTGTCGCGGCTGCAACTTTGGCTGCTCAGGAGATGGGGTTTCTGGCACGCAGTCGTAGCGAATCCAAGGGTCAAGTTTGACAGTGAACTCTGAGCTACATTGGCTTGGATGGTTTGTTCAAGTTTGCTTTGGGGCGGTTCGTGCGGCCAGAACGATATTCGTAGTGTTTGCCTGCATTCTGACCACCAAAGTGCAAAGGTGCAGTCGCTTGCGCCTGCCGAAGGAGCCGACCACCTGGAATTGCTGGCGGGCTTGCAGAGCAGCAGCTTGCAACACTACCTCCAGACTCTAGATGAGAGTAGAAATTATTCGAGGCCTTCTTCCCCAAGGCCCCACAGGTAACGAGGAAACGAACTGCAACGCAATACTCGGTGCAGACGCAAGGTGCTGCAAGCCGATTGTACAAGGGAAGTCGTGAGGTTCAGGGTTTTCGGGGTTAGTTTCGGCGCTGAGGTTCGGGCGGAGTTCGGAACAGGGTCCGGGACAGTTTCGGATCAGGACATGGTCAGTTTCGGTCGCACGCAATGGTCAGTTTTAGGCGGCCTGCAAGAATCGGACTGAGCACCTCGCCGCCCGAAACTGACACACCCGCGTTCCGACCCGCTCTGATCCAAAACTAGAACCCCGAACTACGGGCAACCAAACCATTGTACAAGGGTGCATGGCGATGCGGTCTGTTGCTCTCTTCGGGCTTCTGCTGCCCGTTTTTTGCCCGGTGTTCCTCTACGGTCGAAGTCTGGTGCGCATTGTCGGATGACAGTGCTGATGTTCTACGACCGGTCCACGGGACTTGTGTCGGATTTGTGAGATGCTCGTTTTATTGCACTTTGCGGCCAGTCACGTGTTGAGATTCGGAATTGCAAGGTACATGGGGAAGTGACTCTGAATTGACACACATCATTGTTGGATATGGTCGGAGAGAGCGAGAGAGAAAGAGAGAGAGAGAGAGAGAGAGACAGACAGAGAGAGATTATGTAAGCTTGCAAGTACCTTGACATTGCCACTGTGTGGTGCTTCCGGTCAAGCAAGACTACCGAGTGTTAGCTGTAAGCGCAGTTACAAAGGGTGTTTGCTTTCACGAGCTAGAGACTGCATGCACGCTTGAGAAGCGACAGCCAGGAAGCCGACCTCCTCGAAATAGCGAAAAGAGAGGCCTCGTGCTGAAGCTTGCATCATCGTAGGCTCATAAGGTATGAGGAACAGGGTGCTCGTGGCGAGCAGAGTTTCATCATCGGTGACCAGTAAAGTTCAGGATCTGGGTCCGTGCCGAGCAAGGGGTTACTGTAGAGGCTTTGGGGCTAATTCACATACGTTGGTCAGCGCTTGATGTCGAACTATCTGCGCTGCACTCGTGTGTTTGACTCAGGTCGCCGACAGTACGACAGAGCGAGTCTCCCAGAGTAGCGGGGATAGGGTAAAGGAGATGAGCTTCGGTGTTGTGGGGGATCACTACGGAGGATCGGATGGGGGCGCGCAGCCAGCCACGAGTCCAGAGTTTGTTCTCTTGTTGATTGGCGCATCGGCGCATCTCCTCCACAGGTTGGGCCAGACAAAGCATTGTTTTCGCTCAGCCTCCATGCCTATGGTACTACTAAGACTTTGCAGCCCATGCCGTGGCTCTATGAGGTTTGCCTCTGCGGAAGCACTGGATGCGACAGAGGCAAGATACTTGTGTGCTCTTGCCGAAGACCAAGGTCCTGGTGACATGAACGTGCTAGTCGCAAGCCACACAGCCAACACTCCACAAGCGGTGGTTTCAAGTTGCTTTCAACGGCTGCTTCGCCAACCTGGTTGCGCTGAACTCCCAGATCTGCAGTGCTGACACAGAACAGCAAGCACGTTTGGCTTCAGGCTCTTGTCGACACAAATTTACAGGTTCCTGGGGCCGTCGACGAGGACTGTTTAATCCCTTCCCCTTAATATTAACAGAATAGGACGTGAGGGCAACCCAAACTCCAGAATAGGACGTGAAGGCGGTGTGCAATAAGGACCCCCCCTCCCCCTAATCTAAAAGCTGGATTTCGGAGGGTCGGTATTTATATTAGGAGGGTTTCGGGGCGTCCGGGTATGAGTCGGAATGAGATTAGTAACGAGCCAGACACACAGACCGCCCGTCACGCCGCCGTTCCGCTGTAGAGCAGACAGTCCCGCCCTAAGCCCTAAACCTTGAGCCCAACGCCCTAAAGCCCTAAAGCCCTAAGCCATTTTGGCTCAAGCCATTTTGGCTCAAGCACACACACGGCTCGAGGGGAGAACACAGGTTTCTCGGGGTTCCTGGGCTAGCTCATTATGTCCGGGGCTCTTGCTGCCTTGTCTGCAAGGGTTGGTCCAGGGCTCGCGTCAGACGCACAGGCTGCTTTGGATGCTGCTCTTGGTAAGCCGCTTCCTGCCCGATTTGTCCCACCTGGCATGCTTGACACTGATGATGATGATGATGATGATGAGTCTGATGCTCATGCCAAAACTGGTGGTCGTTCTCCCGTGGGAGATAAGGGGGAGAGTCCCCCATAAGAAGTCCAAGCGGTATGATAGTACCATTGACGATGAACTCATGCAGCCCAACACAGACGCAGAGCCCGCGGAACCCAACGAAGAAGCCGTCCCCCTTAGCCAGCGAGAAACTCAGCCCTGGGCCGTCGACACAGCAGGGTACAGAAATGCTGACGTTAACAAGATGCCACTCAAGGACCGGGGAGGGAAGGGAGTTCGTGAAACTGATGATGTGGTCAATTCGGAATTGGATGCAGGGAAGGGACCTTCTTTGGTTGTGAATTCGGAAGTGAGTGGTTTTGAAAAGGGTTTGCCTTCTGTTGAGAATTCAGAATTCGGAAAGCATGATGTGAAGTGTTCGACGGGAGAAGACATGACTGGCACCGCCTCTGTTCCACCTCGCCTCCCAGGGAAAGGGGATAATCCCCGTAAGCCCTCCAGACCAGGAACATCTCTGAAGCCCTCCAAACCAGCTCTTGAAGGTATTGGTAGAGGCCAACTTGTTCAAGAAGAACCCCCTAAGGATCGCTCACCTGCCTTTGGTAGAACTGGACCCCTGAATGCACCCCCTGTTTTCGCTGGAGGTCAAACTGAACTCACTGGGGAAAGAAAACCTGCGCACTTCCACATTGACGATGAACCTGCCTGGCTCCCCTCCCTCAAGAGTAGTATCCAAGAGTTGAAGGACAAGCAGACTCAAATCTTGGAAGTCGCTGACAGCAATTTCAGAGAGATCAATAATCTTCAGCATAAGGTTGCTGACGCAGTTCCACGGATTGAAGCTGTCGAAGCTCTCACCCATGACCACTCCCGTGAAATTAGGGAACTTCGGGAAGAAGTTCGAGGACTCAGATCCAGGTCGGTGTCTCCGGCACCAGCAGGGTATGCAGGACCACAAGCAGCATACTCCGCCCCGCCGTCGCCCCGTGCAGATCCTCGTTACGACGACTTACAGATTGCTTGCGGAGGCTGGCAGGACGCCAAGCGACATGACATTGAGCATGAGCTGTCCCAAGCCTTTGCCACTGCTGGAGGGTCTAATTTGGTACAAGACCTTATCATACCTTATGCCAGGAGCTCCTTTGCGAGAATTGAATTAAACTACCCTCCAGGGTGCCCTATCGGCGAGAAAAGACGCATCCAAACCAAGGTAATTCAAGCCTTGAAAGACCAGCTGCCAGTTACCAACATTCAGGGTCAAGATGGAAGGAAAATTTGGTTTACTCTCAATCGCAGTCCGGAGGAACGGGCTAAACTACGAGCGATGCGATTCTGTCTACGAAAGAGGCTCTACAGGGGCTCAGGCCCCAAGCAGACATTGAGCACGATTGGTGTGGGAAGGTTTTTGCTGATGGGGTCAACGTGTTGGGGTTTTCGGGGCCTCCCCCACCAGAGGATGCCTTCCTTCACACCACTACTCGCGGTGATCACAGTGGGTGGTGGGTGCACGTGACTAAGGCGGCACAGGTATTGGGGGTCACGGGCCAGCAGATACACGATGCGTTGTCACGCACTGCTGGAGGACCATAGGGAAGTGGCAGGGAACCCCCCCAGAAAGGTGTGTCGGCAAAACAACGGAAAGCCTCTCGTCGGGCTTACCATGATCTTACGGTGCTGCATTGGAATCTGCATGGCAAATCCCTTACCCACATTGATAATGTCATCCATCAAAACGTGGATCCACCGGACATCTTGTGTTTGCAGGAAGTTGGTGGACTCAGCGGAATTAAAGAGGTGCAAGCCCTGCCTTTTGCCATAGGCAAGCAGTCTTATACAGCCTACTGTCTGGACACACCCGAAAGCTGGAGAGGTGTGTGCATTGCAGTTCGTCATGAGCTAACTGTTTCTACAACGGAGACTCGGGCTCACCCCTTTGGGGTCTTGGCTCGTCTTCGTCTTCAAGGAGTTGACTGGTTCCTTGCTAGTTTGCACTTCCCTCACGATAACCGGGCGAATTGTCTTGAGACTTGGAATTCGGGAATTCAGTTGTTGGAGGAATTCATTCTGCCTGCGAGAATTCAGGATCGTGTGGTTATTGCTGCTGATGTGAACCAAGATTTGAGTCTCGAATACGATATGTTTGCACAAGTACCAAGACTAAGGGCATGCATGCGCCTCGCAGGTCTTGACTTGCTTGTCCCTGACAGGGATACGTGGCATGCCAGAGGACTTAGCACGAAGATTGATTTCATGTTCTTTCGAGCACCAGGGATGGACTTTCAGCTGACCGTTCGGGATGATTTGACCCGTCGCTGCGGGAAATGGATGGCACCGGAGGCTGCTGTTCAGGAAGCTCTTAATTCTTTTGCTGATGCCCCCATGAACCACAAGGTCATTGAATCTATTGCAAAGCAAGCTAGTTTCCGTCCTCCGAATCTCCGCTACCAGGATGGTCCTGACATTCGGGAGCTCATTAGACAACGCAAACTCCTCGTCGGGGAGGAAAGAGCAGCTATGATGGCACGAATTAGGAAGGCAAGAGAATTGGCCCAAGTGGCTCACAAAGAAGCTTTACTGGATAGGGCCAGAAATGGGGATAAGAATGCCATTGCACACATGCGTCGCTCGGCAGCAGGATCCCTATCTGATGGTAGTTACATTCAAAGGGCTGGGGGGCATGAGACAGCCCTCAGGGACTTGAAGCACTTCTATGCATGCAAGTTTAATTCGAGGGACCCAAACAGCCTTCAGCCTCTCAACGAAAGCCTCACAAGAAAACATGGGAATGCTCCTTTCACTCCCGTCACGAAGGATGAACTTCTTCAGTTGCTTCAGACCTGCAAAGGGTCCACGAGCACAGGTCTAGATGGTATCTCGTATGATGTCTTGACCAACATTCTTCGACACGATGAGGATGACCGTTTGCCAGGCTGGTTTAATAAGGTTCTTGATGGCAAGGAGAAAATTCCCAAAGAGTGGAAAGAAGGCAAAATCACTTTCCTTCCCAAGATCAGCCGACCTCTCAAACCATCGCAGCTCAGGCCGATCTGCCTCACTAGTACGGTTTGCAAACTGTTCGGGAAACTGCTCAGTGTGAGGCTTCGTGAGAAGCTCCCCGAAACACCCACAGCACAGCTAGGGGCCAGGAAGGGCTGTCAAGTTCTTGATGGTATCACAACCGCTCAGATGATGTTGTCCCTTTCTAAAGCACGTAGAGCCCCACTACTTGCAGTAAAGCTAGATATAGCTGCTGCCTTTGATTCAGTACATCACAGGAGTGTGGGCCATCTCCTCATGGAATCCGCTCCCTGCAAGGAAGCGCTTAGACTTTGGGACCTTGTCAGGGACAATGTTGTCCTCCTCCAATTGAACGGCGAGCATCGGTACCAGGAACTACAGCAAGGGGTTATGCAAGGGACTAGCTATAGTGCCGAACTGTTCAGTAAACTCATGGCCTGGGCCTTACGTGACTTGGATGCAAGATGGGACAGAATTTGGGGCCCCTGCATTCAAGGAATTCGGACGCCACACATGCTTTTGTTTGCGGATGACGTTCTGGCTTTTGCACGCACACCAGAGGAATTGCAAGCTAAATTAAAAGACATTCAGGACAGCTTGGCCGTGTTAGGGCTCAAAATTAACCCTGACAAATGTGCCGCTTTGAATAGTCCTGTCTGTTTCAACCCAGGAGTTTGGGCCCGGGGAACCTGCAAGCCTCTTCAGGTCCACGACCAGTTCATCTTTTTGGGAGCTCCTATTGGGTACTCCATGGGGCCCCTCGACACACTAGGCTTTTCGCTGCGTAAAGCTAGTAACGCCTTTTTTGGATTCAAGAAGATTCTGTCTTCACATGCATGCCCCCTCAAAACCAAGTTTCTCCTTTTGGATACCTACATCACTTCACGATGGCGGTGGTTATCTCCCGCTGCTTTTCCGACCCTGAGAACTCTCGAACAGATTGAAGCGAACAAAAACACCTTTCTGTTGAGCATGACCAGGATCGTGGGTGACCCTTTCGAATCTTGGGTTAGAAATACGACTGCCAGGAGGCGTGCATGCAGGCTCCTGGTTCAGGAATTGAACGGTCCAAACTGGGCTGTTGTTTGGCTTTCGCAACTTTGGCGATATTGGGGTCATGTTTGGCGGAACCCCCTCAATTTGCCCAACTGTCGTATTCTTCGACAGGTTGGAACAATCGCGCTGAGTGCAGGATTAATACGCCCTGGGGTTGTTGTTGACCTGATCCCCCGTAAGCTTCAGAAGGCGTTTGAAGTCTTTCGCGGTCCCCTTGATCCGGACTGCTGGGAGCTCGCCGCCTCAAATCGAGATGCATGGAAGCAACTTGAATCCAAGTGGATCTCCAAGTGGATTTCCCCAATTAATACTGCATGCAGTTCAACAGACCTCATGAACATGCAATTGCTTGTCCTGAATGCGAAGCTGTGCGTGCTGCGTCCGGTTCGGGAGGAGCTTTTTGAGAAACCTTACTCGCAAGCCCTCCTCCAGGTCAAGGAAGCCAACCGCCTGTCAGTGCAAAGGGCACTACTCGTCAGATTCGAACAGGACCAAGGAGTGTCAGTGCTCCTGCTCATGGGAACCTTCGCACCGCACAGAGTGACATTGGTGCAGCAGCCGCCTCAGGAACAGGACCTCTTAGGAAACGTTGCGCGAGGACTCTTGGTTGTGTGGCACCTTGCGAAGCTCCTGTTTGACGATGACCCCCTGCACAAGCCCGCCATTTTCCTGCCCCAGGTTATGCTCCAACACCCATTGTTTACAGGAGTCGTGAATTCATCTCCCGCGAGGAACTTGATGTACCGCCTCGGTCAACTAGACATACTCGACTTCGTGCAGGTTCTCCCCTCCAAGCTTCCCCCCAAGTACGAAGCTCTCCTACAGGTGCCTTACAATCCTCAACCGCCTCACAAAACCCTTGTCAGGACCCTTGATGCCAGTTGGGCTAGATATTTTTGCTGTGATGCATGGATGCACGAATTTAATCATACATGTACTGGGAAAGGGGGGGGGGGCAGGACGGCCGACTTATTGAACCAATGAACTGGTGCCTGCCTTTCCACAGGGGAATAACACTTGGTTTCATGTATAGAATGTTTTGTGAACTTGAGTGCATGCTGTGTGCAGATTGAATGATCTGAATGCGAAATGCCTTAGCACTGCAGCAGTGATATACAATCAAACTGCCCTCAAAAAGCCCCTTGCCAACTCCCGCACCGCCATGGAAGCTGGAGGCTTGCGCCTGCTGCAAGTCTTGGTGGGACTGGCCCAGGACACTTCCCGAGTTGCTGAAACCACGCCTCTCCCCTCCTTCGCAGCCTCCAGTACATCCTGGCCAACGAACTTTCTGCAGGGAAGTTACAGCAAGGACTGGATGACACTCAGGATGTCATGAACTTGCTTCGCCATGATCTGAGGACGCATACGGACATGCTTGCACAATGCGTCTCCTCGGAGTTGGGAATTTTCGGGGCTAAGGCTTCGCCAGGGGACATTTTTAATTTGTGTAGCATTCTTCCTCCGATTGCCCCTTGGGAGGATGATCCCCTGGAGGACAACCCGGACTTGCATTTACTGGCTTTTGCGGCCACCAACATACTCCGAGCCTCATGAGTCTCCGGGCATAAAGAGAGGCTCCTTAATGGCTGAGAGTTGCTGTGATGCCCAGAGTAACTGCATGCACTGTTGGTGTTCAAGCCCTGAAGTAGTCACTTGTAATAGTGAGCTGCCCTCCTGAGACCGTATCTTCGTGAGCCATGGATGTTCCTACTCTGTGGTATGCTTTCATAACAGTTCTGCTGGTCTGGTGCCTACACAGACTTTGGGAATTTGCCCTTCAGCAGGTTCTGCATGTTCGATCTTTGGCACAACGAATCCTCAATATAATTCAACTGCTGAAAGCTTCTACAATGGAGAGCCTCAACTGCAGGGGTTATTGTGGAGAGAACCTTGTTTTCTGAGAACTTGTGTGACAACATTCTCAAGCTGGTGAGAATGAATGATCGCAAGCTTGGTGAAACCCTGGCGCAACAGCTCCGACAAAGAGAGGATGTGGAGTCCCTCATCAGACAATTTGGTGACGAATTCAAAACCATTGTGCATGATCTGGGATAGCGCATTTCCCAGGTTGAGGCGTCCATGGACAACTTTGTCGAACAGCTGGAAGCACATGATGAAAATTTTAAGAGAATTCGCAGAGCATGTGAAGATCAAACACTTCATGCAAAAGCTTTGGTAATTAATAATGAAACGAATTTCAAGCAAGTCAAGATGTCCTTTTCACACCTGAGATCAGTGCTGGAAACTGATGTGGTTCCAACGCTCAACGGCCTTCAGGCGCTGTCGAATGCTGGCAGGTGACCTTACCTTGAAACTCCGAGAAGCTCCAATTCGGGCAGCTCCAAATCGAAGCTCCGATTTGGAGCTGGCAGCTCCTTTTGGAGCTTCCGACTTTGAGGTGTTAAACGGCGGAGAGCAGCTCCAATTCGGAGCTTCCAGAAGCTCAGTTCGACTGGGAAAACCGTCTAAAACACTTTTGAAAACTACCTGCAAACCCACAAGCAAATGAAGTGCCAAAGCTTTTGCAGCCCTGCAAGCACTAAAGTTCGGCCGAATCTTTTTCTCGGAGCGGCAGCAAGGCAGGTGCTGCAGACTTGTGCTGCCAAGCTCAAGTCTTCCTACAGGGAGCCTTCTGCAGGCTAGCTCTATCGCAAACCTCTTCGAGCCCGGTCCAGGCAGCACTTGCCTTTGAGCTTGAAGCCCTGTGCTCCTGCTGAGGTGGCTTTTTCGAGATTTCGCTTTGCCAAAGTTCCTGGCAAGATATTCCTGCCATAAAGTCCCATGGCATAGTCAGGAAACTCCTCAGAGGTATCCGAAGCCTCATCCCTCAATCGTTTCTTGGTGGGCCCTGCAATTGCCTTCTGCAGGCAAGCTTGCCAGCATGCCCAAAACAAAGGCAAGGACAACGGAGCCATATGTGCTGTGAACCGAAAAAGCTGCGGAAAAAATCACAAGTAGTAGTAGAGGCAACCCTCGGCGGCACCCTGCAAATCGAACGGGTTTTCCACACCGCCAAAAGCGACTCGTCCAGAGTCACAGCTAAATGCCCCAGAGTTGGGGCTTTGCGAAAAGCTGCAGGCGGCCTTGTGCAGGCCAGGGGCTGCGACCCAAGTGAGTTTCGCCGCTGAAGCGCTTTGACTTTCAGGCATTCTCTTCATCCCACTTCTTGTGCGATGAGAGCTCCCTCTTCAGAGGCTTCAACTTCTCAGAGATGCTTGCCACGACTTCCGCCAGCTTGCTGGCCAACTCTTCGTGATCCTTTTCGGGCTGCTTGGGGAACTTGTGCTGGCTGTCCATCACTTCCTTTTTGCAGGAATAGAGTGAATAGAGCTTCCCCTCCAACTCTGCCACCTGCTCCAGCACCACGGTTGCCATCTTGTGCTTCTTGTGGTCAAGCGAGACCTTGAGCAGCTCCACAGTTGCCAGTTCTGTGCTCACTTGGGTGAGCTGGCCAGTGAGCTTCTTTCGCTGGTCCTTGTAGTTCTGCTCATGGTCGATGCGAACCTCGGCTTCCTTGTCCTTGCCTTCTCCAGGCAACCTACCGGACTGGCTTTTGCTAATCATCTTCTGGGTGGCCGCACCCTTGAGCTTCTTGCGGATTTCCTCAAAATCCTCCTGGCTCACGTCCCCAACGTTCTCCTCCAGCTGAAGCTCTCTTGTTTTGGAGCTGCTGCTGAAAGTCTTGCAGTGCTCGAAGTAGTACTGCTTGATTCCCAACTTGGCTAAGTTCTCATCCTCATGCTCTCTCTCGAGCAAGTCCTGAACACAAGCCTTCTTCAGGCTAGAGTAGTCACTCGAGTGAGGGAAAATCCCCTTGAAGCCGGCGATCTCGTCGTCTGTGAACCAGCCCTTCTGGGTGTCGTCTCTGTCCTCCTCTGCTTGCACGTCTGTCTTCGCGACCCTCCTCTCAGAGATTTCGGGATCCAGCAGATACACCTCGTAAAAAAACTATCTCTTCTCTGCCTGGCTTTTGACTTAGGAAAAGCGTGAGGCAGGGCCGTCTTGCCGGCTTTGGCCAAAGCCTTCAGTTTCTGGTTCATCTTCTTCGCTTCGGAGTGCCCGATTTTCGGGTGAGCCTTGGCGGCAGCCGTGGCAGCCCTTTTCGGGCTAGCCCCTTTCTTCGGGCTCACCAACTCCAGCTTCACCGGGGGAGCCTTGGCTGGGCTTTGGGGCTCAGCCTTCACTGTGCCTTCTGCAGGCAAGCCGCCGTTGCCTGCATTGCCTTGCTCAGGCTTCTTCTCGTTGCCTTGCTCAGGCAAGGCCTGCTCGCGGGCAGCAGGTTTTTTCATCTTGGAGCCACCGGCCATCGTCCTGATCTCTAAAACCGTGAGCTTGAGCCTAAGTGCTTCAACGGAAACCCTGGTTGAAATCCGCAGCCAGGCCCAAGCCCGAGGCCAGCCAAAAGTTCCTAAAAAAGTTCCTTTAGGAACTTTCCGCCGGAAAGTTCCTATAGGAACTTTTTGTCTTTATTATTACAAACCTAATAAAACCTAAAAGTTCATATAAAAGTTCCTGAAAAAAGTTCCTAAAAAAAGTTCCTGTAGGAACTTTTTTTCCTGCCGCACTGGGCCTGAGCCCATCCTGGGGGCCTGATTTTTTCGCAGCTGGGGGCTTCAGGTCTGGAGGGCTGCTGCTTCGTGGCTACGGGGCTTTAGGAGCAAGGGTTTTGGGTTTTGGGGCTTTAGGGGTTTAGGGTTTAGGGTTGAAGGGTTGTAGGTTTTTATGCGGTGCTTTAAAGGGCTTCAGCGGGTTTAGGGTTTAGGGGTTTAAGGGCTTTAGGTTTGTACGTTTTGCAGCCTGGGGGTTTGTTTAGGGTTCAATATTGTTCCGGCACACCCCAGATCTCGTGCAAAGGCCAGTCGGCGACTGCAAGCACCGTCATACAAAGGCACATCATGATGGCATTCTGCAGACCAGGGCCATTGCCCATGAGAGCCTTCTGCAGGCTAGCCAGCATGGCAAAACCCAGAAAGCTAAAGGGAGATCTAACAGTTGCTACCTGCAAAGCTTGAGCTCTCCAAATGCGGACGAACAAATAGTATTCAACAGACAAACTCGACACATGCACTGCACTTCGACATGACCTGCTTCAAAATACAAAACATGAAAAGCTTTCCCAAACAAAAACCGTTAAAAAACCGTTCTAAAAATTTACGGCTTTATATGCTTTGGGGTTTTAGGGTTTAGGGTTTAGGGGCGACCTGCGATTTTTTTGCACCAGCCGAAGCGAGAGCCATGTGAAGTCGCGAGAACTGCCTTTGCAGGCAAGCACAGTGCATTAATATCCAGTCCTGCCCCCCCCCATCTTTGATTGAGGGTGCTACTGCAGCAGAAGGTGCCGCAAGCACACAGCTAGCCTTGCGCAGGCTCGGCCTGGGCTGCTGCCAAAAGGGCAACCCTGATCTTCTCCCGCTTGGCGATCACATCCTCCTTGGTCAAGCCAGCTTCCTCCTGGCACACCCACTCCATGAGCTGCCTCACGATAGCGGCATGGTCACCCAAGCCCTGACAGTTCACCAGCGACCTCTCTTTCGAGGCTTTGTCCTCTTTGAACACGATGTACGACTTGTCTCTGGCAAAGGTTGGCTTGACCAAGCCGAAGCTCTTCGACTCCTTCCAGGGGTTGGCCTTGTGCAGGCCAGCAGGCCTCTTGCAAGACTGGGCTTTCGCTTTGGCCTTTGCTTTGGCTTTGCCCTTCGCCTTAGCTTTGTTCTTTTTCTCAGTCTGCCCCAAGCTTTGCACAGGAGTGCTAGCGGCCGAACTTGACTCAACAAGCTCTGCACTCGAGGGTACACTAGCAGCAACGGATCCGATCGAAGGCTCTTTCCTCAAGATCCTTCGTTTGGGCGGTGTCGCTTCTGCCACTGCAGCAGGTGCAAGTGCAGCAACCTCGGGCTGCGAGTCCGTACCCGTAGTAGAGATCCTTCGCACAGGACGTGCAGATGCAGGCTCCTTCAAAGCCTGCAACAACTCTTTCAACCACGATGCCATCTGCTCGCCTGTCTTGGAGTTTCGGTCTTTTGCACATCGATTTCACTGCAGCGATCTTCTTCAAAACCGAATTTCGGCTGGCCTTGTCCAGGCCAGGGAAAGCTTCTTGCCATATCTTCCTTGTCACTTCAATGCTCCTCGGAGGCTGCCTAAACCAAAGGCAAAGGAATTTATGGTGCCTTTCGCCGACTTCCTCTGGGGTACCGTTCCACAAGCTTTCTTTCATGTCTTTGCCACCGAAGCTGCCCCGGAGCATGGCCGCAATACTCCTGATTTGATCCATTTCCATGCTCTTGCTGCCGCCTTGTGCAGGCGAGCTGGGCCCAGCAGCACTGCTGGCCATGCCTTCTGCAGGCGAGCCACCTGGCTTGCCTTGCCCTGCTTTCACAGCCCTACTTAACAACATCGCTCCCTGCGATATTCTCGAGCCGAAAGTCGTCCTACAGGCATATGCATCAGGAAGACTACCTGCAAATTTAACAAGCACAAAAAGAACTCAGAAGCTCGATTTGGAAGCTCCAAATCGGAGCTTCTAGAAGCTCCGATTTGGAGCTGCCGGCAGCTCCGAATCGGAGCTTCTAGAAGCTCCGATTTGGAGCTTCCGAGAAGCTCCGAATTGGAGCTGCTGACACTGTTCAAGCATCGAAACACGGAAGCTCCAAATCGGAGCTGGCAGCTCCAATTTGAACCCGGAAGCTCAAAACAGAAGCTCCAATTCGGAGCTGGCAGCTGCAAATCGGAGCTGGAAGCTCCAAATTGGAGCTGCTCGGCAGCACCGTTTCGGCGCTGCCAGCTCCGATTTGGAGCGGCCGCTCCGAATTGGAGCTTCTCGGAGTTTCAAGGTAAGTTACCCTACAGATCAGAAAGGGCCGCAGACGATCCTTGGTTGTGATCTCACAGACTCTGACTGGGATAGGTCTGCTTCATGCATGGTACACATGTACTGGCTCCAGCATTCTTGACGCAGAAGGGGTCAGTTGTTGCAAATTCTGGTGTTTTGGTCGGAGTACTGTACTAGAGATGCAAGCGTTCCCCTTTGCTCTGCCAGGTCCCTCAGTCACCATTCCCATGGTAATTGATGACGAAACGGCACCAACTGGGGTGGACCTTGATGATGACATTGGGTTCACTGTTGAACGTACTGGATATTCCCCTGATCTTCCCTGGAGCTCCATGAAAACACTCCCTCTCGACCCACCTTTTGCCCTGAGCGCCGACCCACTCCTCAAACCGATTGAGTTTCGTGCCCTCCTTCTACTACGACATCCTAAACCCCCTACCCCTAGGGATGTCTTCAACCTCTTCAACATGATCCCGAACACATATTTGAGAAGAGGGGCTAAGGATGGGACGAGATATTTTGGCACTGGGGCCAACCCTCGTAACTCCAAGTGCTTGTTCAGTTTTTCGATTGAAATGCCATTCACGACCCTCGTTATTACTAAGATGATTGCTTTTGTGGCGCCGAGCTTCAGGTTTACTTGCTGCATTCTTTTCAGGGGGTGCAAGTCCAGGCCTCATCGAGATACCAATAATGGGGGTAACCAATCTCTGGTGATGCAAATTTCACCTCCGCTGCCAGGAGCAGGTCTCTGGGTACAGGACACTTGTGGGGATGTCGTCATGGAGCACCTAGGAACCCAAGTTAAAGGTCGTGTGGTATCCATCGATACACCCTATTTGCTCAACGCCCGTAGATCCCTCCATGCCGGATATGTACCTCCCCACGTGGACCCCCAGCAACGAGTTGTATTGGTTGCTTTCAACTCCATCAACTTAGGGCCTTAGGGTCCCTCAGCTCAGAAGTCATTGACCAATTGCTCAACTTTGGCTTTCGCATCAACTCGAAAACCGACCTTAAAGAAGCCCTAGAGGAAGCTCCCAGGTTAAAGCAGCTCACACTACAGGAATTCCTGCAGCTTCAGCCCTCTCGAAAGGACTGCCACGACGTGATCGAGGTCACGGACAGTCAGGAGGTGTAGTGAACCACCTCAACCCCCTGAAATCGTTGCTGTGTGCAAGACACTGACGAGTTGATGATGGATGCTGCTGCCTGCCTGCTGGGGTTTTCTAGTGCCTACTTACCCTGCATAATTGGAACCTACCTTGCCTAATAAGAAAACCTTTAAAGGAGCATGACCCCGGACATACTGAACCTGTGTTTCACCTCCATTCGCTGAGCCATGACCTTTGGCCTCAGCCGACGCTTGCCTGCATGGATGGATGATGGGATTGGAATTCAGGAATTCGTTGAGGTCATGGAGGATTCTGCAAACCCAAGACTGTTTGCCCAGAACATTTTGGGTTTTCTGGATGACATCCGGAATACTCCTAGGCTGGAACACCTGGGCCGAGAGCCATTGGTTGCCTCTTATTGCAGGCGCTTGGCACAGAGGTGTGATGAGATTCTGCAATTTCACTTCAGAACAGCGCGGAAGCCACCAGCGGAGTTTTATGCAGATATTCTGGAAACGTATACACGTATTCGTACCCGCACGTGGTATCTGTATGTGGACGCTTCCTTGGCACCGACGCCACTGTATCATCAGATTCGGAGCTGAAGATTGCTGGACCCTTCAGGCTTACTGCATGTGGTCTGAATACCATCGGCTCTTGGGATGCAAGTTTTCCATGAATTCAGTGCAAGCCTCTATGCTTTCTGGCGAGCCTGGAAGACAACACGATGAATTTGCAGTTTATCTGCCTGCATGCTTTACATATGACCTCGCTGTCATGGAGAGAGGAGCATGCATACATCCAGGACTGGACCTGGGAGGGTGTATTGGAATTCGATGCAGATGTACTGGCATGGTGGAGCTGGCATCCGCCAGACTGCATGTTGGAATTTTTGAATGCAGTATCTGTTTTGCTGGAATGATTCACAAGCTTGCATGGTGGATGTGGGCTCCAGCGGACTGCATGTTTGAATTCTGGAGAGTCAGACTGCATGCTCGAATTCCTGAATACAGTATTTGTTTTGCTGGAATGGTTCACAAGCGTGCATGGAAGATTTGGACTCCAGTGGACTGCATGTTTGAATTCTGGAGAGTCTTCCTTTTCTGCTGGGATGATGGGTCCCTTGACCGTCTGTCGTGGGAATGCAAGTTACATTGTTGAAGTGGAGAAGTTCGTCACTGCACCGCTGAGAGGACCTTGCCTGTACGTAAGATTTTGCTGGGAGCCCTCCAGTGTGCGATGCTGCATATCTGCATGAGCTCTGCATTGCGCTACGAGATGATGCCAACTGCAAATCTTTGGGAATTCACAGGGCTGAGTCCATGGTGATTCTGGATAATTCTGGGTGCGAGTTTGCGAGTGCATGCCATGGAAGCCACGGGGTGTCAGCTGTTTTGGCTATGGACTGTATGTTTCTGCATGCTGCTGCATGGTGCATATTACGTGTCTTTGCATGAGAGATGTGGTTGGATTACGACAATCGCCGGTTGAGGAGTACGCTGCTAGTTGCCAGTCTTCAGTTTCACAAGTCCCTCAGGGAGCACAACTAGGTCGTGGGGTGTAGTTGGTTTAGTGTTTGCTCTTTGGGGGGCTGCTGTCAGTTGAGACCACGTGTTATGCTTGTACACTTGCTTGTGGGCTTCTTCTAGGTCCCGTCTGACAGCGACCTGGGTAAGTGACACCGACTGCTCAGGGAGATCATGTAGTTTCGTCGAACCTACGTTTGCAGACCTTGCCAGGCTTGTCCGAGTGTGAGTGTCAAAAAAGCCCTAAGCCCTAAACATTGAGCCCTGAAGCCCTAAGCCCTAAAGTTGTAGCCCCGAGCCCTAAACCCCTCAACCCTAAAGCTTTGGTCTCTTCGGTTTGATTAATCTTGGCTCTATCAGAACCAATACAATCCTAGCCCCCCCTAATGTTTTTTAATTACTTTCAACTGTGGGCCCGAAACTGCGAACTTCCGGGGGCCAGGAGTTATTTTATTAGGGGTTTAATATTAGGGGGAAGGGATGCGCCTCCGGATTCTCCGCTGTCTCATCCAATGGTGCTACCTGCTTCTACTGTGTGTAGGCATACGACATCCACCAGCACAGCGAAAGAATTCAATTTCCAGGTGACGTGGACAGCAATTTGAAAAACTTGTTGCACAAGCTAGGGAATCGCTGATGCATAAGGTTACACAGAGCCACTGCACATGTACGCATGTGTCCACGCTTTGGCATGTGTCACGCACACCAGCAGAAGTGCAAAACAACTAAACAACACGGAGAAGTGAAGCCATAAAAGGGAATGCAGCATCTCGAAACCCGGGTCTGTGATCGTCTGTGGGTAAACGGCATACCTTCGCGGGAAAAGCATATTGTTTGCACCTGTGCGTTTGTGTTCGGTTTAGTTGTTCAGTTCGGTTTGAGTTTAGTGTTTAACCGCAAACCAGCCAGCGAAATATGTGTGCAGAAAACCTCCAGTGCTCGAGAGGAGCGGGAGACTCAATATGAGCGTCGGCGGAGAGAGCGTCGTCGGCGGCGCGAGCGCGAGGAACGTCGGGGCACCTGAACTTTCCAGTGTGATCGGAGAGAGCTGGGTTGAGGGGTTTTCCTGGTCCTGCACCTGTCATTTCGGTTCGTGACGATGCCTGGGCAGCATCTCTGGGATTGGCTTTCAGCCTTCTGGGGTCATTTTTGGGATTGCAGTGACATGTCAGCTATTGCGGCTGGCGGTGCCAGGAGCAGCAAAGTAGAACAGGTTTCCTTCAAAAAGCCCGAGGGTAGACCGGACCTCGACGTTACAAAATGGAGACTCCCGAAACGTTTCCAGGGTTCGCATGGTTGAACAGAAAGGGCCAACAGCTTTCCTCGGATACCACAAGAGATACCACAAAGACGGGCTGGCTCGAGACCCTGTGCCACCCACTAATTAAAACAGTCCGTTCGGGGTCGGCCGATCTCGGCGCGGTTTATCCAGTGTGGTTTGCTGCATTTTGTTCGGGTCAGGAAGCAACAGCTAGATACAAGAGCCCTCAAAAACATGCCTGATACCTACAGTGACGCGCACACGACGCCAAGGCTGGGATTTCGATCGTGACGAGAAGCTCCAGGCACACGAGAACTGCCCTTGGGGGTTTACCCGATTGTCCAGGGAGACAGCTCTGCGTCTACTACAATGGCAGTTTCCGGGGACTGACGCAGCGATTAAGAAGTTGTTGATCTCAGACCTCCCAAGCCCGGATGCCAAAAACTGTTCCTGCAGCGAGAGACTTGGGGATGCGACAACGATGCAGTCTTGGGGCAGTCTTGCGATTTGGGTTTAATTCGTCACGGGCAGCATCGTGTGGCAGATCACACGCCGAGTATTCGACACAAGAAATCAGACTCCCCGAGGCTAGGACGACTAGTATGCGTGGTTGCATAGCATGTCAACCCTTGGCCCACAACGTTTGCCAAGCCATGAAGCGGATGCAGTCGCTGCAGATGGTGTTGGCACTGCAAACTTTCATAAGCTGAGCACGATTGATTAGTGCAGAAAGCAATTGCGAGCGTGAATCCACGACGTGGTGCAGCGAAGAGTGCCGGGAAGCAGAAGAACCAATCCCCGGCCCAAACATCGTCCCAAATGACAGCAACTCTACACCCGAAAACAGCAGCAATGTGTCCAGCCCAAGTGTTGTCAGCCCCCCTCGCTCTCCGATCTTGCCGTCTTGGACGACCTGCTTCAGAGCCGTAGCGTGGGACTCGGTCACGTTCCAGCGTGTTCAGTCGAAATTCGGGTGCGAGGCGATGTCGCTGAGCATGGAAGGTTCTGAAGTGTCCGTGCGATCAGAGTTGTCGGGGCAGATGCGAAGCTCAACGGGTTCATAAACGTCGACACTCGCAGCACAGAGAAGCACTCGGTCAGTCGTCCTGTTACACAAGCGCGACAATCCACATGGCCTTGAAGCCGCACCGCTGACCAACCTGCAAGTTTGGCTCTAGAGCTGGCACGGCTCGTACAGTCAGCCCCTGCCAGGCCTGGTCGACTTGCAGACCTTAGAACTGCTGTGCTTCCAGGTGTAGGCACAAATAGGGACCCGGAAGGACGATGATTCCTTCAAGTTTTTATTGATACTGGGGCATAAATAAATAAATATATATATATATATATATATACGGATCCTTAGCGCAAAGTAACTTAGAGCCTACAAGGTACCCCAAACTCCGACAGCGTTCCCCAAACGCGTCCCGTCAGGGGCCATGGGCGGATCCACCTCGAAGCCCGGAGCCGCTCGGTCCGGCGGTGAACACGGGGGGCCCCCTTTTAGGGGCTTCAAGGGGGCACTCGTCGAATGTAGGCTTCCACAGGAGGAACAAAGACGTAGACATCTTCTCTAAGCTTTCGGAATGGCGCTTGACAACCTTTCCAAAGCGTGATGTCAACAATCGAGAAGGACTGCATTTTGCTCAGTTCCTGCCGCTGTCGGAGTTGTGTTGCGAGTTGGTGTCCGGTGTCAGGTGAAAGCTGGCACTGGCGAGCGTGACCGAATTGCTCCTCGATCGTGCACTGCAGTCCTCAAGCCATCGATCGTTCCACGACACCTTCGCCCAAGTTCAACAAGTAGGTCGGTGAGAACCCTGCCTGAAGCGGCTCCTAAATGGGGTTGAAAGGCTTGGCTACATAGAGAAGCCCCTCGTACTCGCGAAGCTTGGACATTCGCATCGGGCAGCTGGTTGGTATCACGGGCTGTAGCTTGGTAAGTAGGTTCCGGTTCAAGGTGTTCGAAGCTCAGACACAGAGACTCGCTGCACACGTGGGCAAATCGCCGCGTGTACTTTCTCGTCGGGCAAGCCGAAGTTGCAGGATGTTCTGCTTTGTACAGGTTCAGGTTCCCAATGGTTCCCTGCTACCCCACAGCAGACCCGCATCGAAGCCAGAAGCGGGGAATATCCAACAAGTTTAAACATTTTGCCGAATGTATTTATCGCAGGTGCTCTTTGGTGATTCCATCACTCAGCAGCAGCTCGGCAACGCCTTGAAGATGCAGTCATGTCCTTTCGTGCTTGAACTTGTCAGCTGCCAGCTGGCGGCATTGGCTCCCCCAGAAGGACGGCACGCATTGGGACACAGGCATTTCGCAATTCAATTCCCGAACTGCATCCGGAAGCTGTCGGCTCCCACAATATAATCCCTCATGTTCATCTGACCGCACGAACTCGGAAGTGGACGAATAGCTTCCAGATGGCTGAAGCATAAAGCTTGCTTACCTAGGCCTTCTCTGTCCGAGTAGTCGGCACTGGGGCCGAAAAGTCCCGGGGCACTGGATGTTTCTACGAGGAGCACTGTGAACCTCCATGGAGGTCTGCAGAATCAGCAACACTTCACTCCGCTTCTTCCTGAATGCTGTTTTTTTTCTGCCGTCAGTTCATGTCACTGAGGTCCTTTTCCCCAGATGGCGGGTGGGGAGCTACACTCGCAAACGTCTACCAGAGGCCAGGTCTGCACCTTGTGGTGTAGCAATCAGGCACATGGTCTTCTTGGGGCATGGATGTCTTTCCGCAACCTAGACTTACAGTACTGGCAGGCACAGCATCAAACACAGCAACAGCGACATGAATGAGAATAAGATCAAGAACAACCAACAGAAAGCGCAGCACAGTGCTACCAGCACCGACGGCAACGACAACCACGCCGTGACAACAGCAGCAACAGCAACACGACATCAACGTCAACAGCACTGCCACTACCGCCACTGCCACCACCACCGACAACAACAGCAACCACGACAACAACAACAACAACAACAGACACAACGGCAACAACAACTCTGCCACCACCAACAACAACAAAACAGCAACACGGCATTAAAACTACTAAAATATCAGCATGGTTTTTTGTTACCCCGATTCTTAACTACTGTTGTGACGCCCACCACCACCAGCACCACAACAACAACCACAACCTTATCAACAGCAACAAAAGCAACACCAGCAGCAACAACTACTGCTGCTACTACTACTACTACTACTACTGCTGCTACTACTACTACTACTACTACGACTACTACTACTACTACTACTACTACTACTACTACTACAACTACTACTACTACTACTACTACTACTACTACTGCTACTGCTAAGCACCTGGGCTCGAACGACGAAACGTAGCGTGTGTGTGTGCGCGTAGAAGTAGGCCGCAGGATGGTGCACCCATACCTTCTCCTCCTCCTGGCCTTTCTTCCCCTTCCCAATCCCCACTCCCTCTATCTGCAAGCCGCTGGGTCCAAATCTCCGTGTCCAGCCGGTCTGCCCTGGTGCGCGAGGCACGAGCCCCAGCATGCACTGCGGCACTGCATAAAGCCAAGCAGCCCGACACTGCCATGCCTTCCTAGTCCTCCTGCCCACGCCTGCAGGCTCAAGCTGTTGTCTAGCTCCCTTTGGGCCTCAGCAGTTCATCAAGGCCCTGCTGTATCATGTCGCAGACACCATCAGGCCCACCGACCGCATCGTCCGGATCGCCTCCACCTACGGAGCACGCTGACCTCACAGCGGCGCTGGCCAGCCTGCATCAGACCCTGGACAGCACCATTGTCAGAGAGCGCTATCGAGCAGGTCTGCACAATCAGGTTTGGAACACCAACAACTGGAACCGCATTGGTTCAACGATGGCTACACGCACTGGCCCCCTACAGACCACGACAGAGCTCCGGGAACCTCAGACATCTCCGTCTCAACCAGGATCCCCAGACTCCATCGACACGGCGGACCTCCTGGCAGCAGCGGAGGAAGCAGAGCGGACCCTTGCCTCCTTGGCAGGGCCCCCCACCGAGCCCACTATGTCTGCTGGCTCCACTCTTCCACTGCGAGCTCGCTCGAGATCCCGCTCCCCTACAGGCCCGACGACTTCCACCCAGGTCTCAGGCCCACACTCGCCTAAAGAAAAGTCCTGCTGAGCGACACCATAGCAAGCCGACCTGGAGGAGCAGTGCCGACCAGGGAGCAGCCACAGGAAAAGTACTCCCCTGGCTTACGTCCTCCAACCGCGCCCCTAGCCTCCTTGAACCTCACCCCCACCTGCCCCACCCCTGCCTGGGCCCAGGTGACTCCACCGGAAGGACAATACCGCCCGACGCCCGAGCAGGGAACTGTGCCTGTCCCTCGGACCAGCCCGAGGCATACACATGTGCCGCCGACGCTGCCTCCCGACCTGCTGCCAGGGACACTGCACTTGCCGAGTCGGCGCCCCAAAGTCATCATAAGTACTCACGGACGCCGTTCACCACGACAGTCCTCAGTTACACCGCAAGCTCAGTCTCGCCCCTGCAGGTTCCTCCAGACCACCCGCCTACACAGCTCAGGCCGACTCTACTGCCAAGGCGACAACTGCCTTTATCTCTGCTCAAGGTTTGTACCTCTCCTCTGCTTTGGGTCAACCCACCTCTGTCGCAGCTGGCTGCTTCTCAAACAGACAGCCACACCAGGTCCCGCCCCGCCAGTGCACCTAGGGCCTCATCGACAATGCCGCGCTCAGATGGCAAGCGAAGACGAGACCAGTCTCGCCCCGGCAGGCTCAACCGCCTGTACACCAAGGACACCAGTGCAGTCCGACATCCAAGAGAAGCCGTGCCTCCGCCCCGTACAATCTATGCGGACGCATTCTACCACCGCTCGGCAGGCTGGATGCAGCGCATACATGAGGAGCTCATCCGTGAGCAACTGGACGAGACGCGAAACACTAGGTCTTCAGGGATCATCCGACTCAGGTCCATCAGCCGCTCCAGACCAAGATCTCCTTCTGCACTACCCGGTCACAGGAAAAGGGCTGCCTCAAGCCCGCGGCGATCACGCAGCGCAGAGCCCTGCAGAGTCAGCTCCCGAGGTGCACCGCCCAGGCCACTTTCCAGACAAGCGCGGCCTCGAGGTACACCGTCACCACCTAAGAAGCCGCGACGGACTCCAACGCCTAGCAGCACTCCAAGGAAATCGGACAACCCCCCTGGGAACAAGACTCCACCACCCCGCCGAACTGACAGGCCCGCCAGACCAAGACCGCGACCCAAAGTCCAAGGACCTCCACCTATGCCGCGGACCCTGCACAAGCAATGGAGAGCTGACCAAGGTAAGCCACCGGAGGACGACAGCTACTCCTACTACACGGACTCAGAACCGGCGACAGCCAGACCCTCTCAGGACGATTGCTTCCGCGAGCCCCGGGCATCACCTGCCCCTAGCACCACGAGCAGCCCCCTGCAGTCGGGTGAACTCATCACCCGACTCCTCCAGCCTCCCACGAGACCCCAAAGCCCGCGCTCCTACTCTTCGCAATCTACTACCAGCCCTGCACAAGACTGTCGGTGCCCCAGCTCTACTCTCGTTCAGCAAAATCGACATGTCCCCTGTGTCACGCCTGCCTCAAGGAGAGAAAGCAGACGCTGGTCTCACCCTCGGCTGCCTGGAGTTTTTCCTGCTAGGATACTGCCTACGACGATCCGCAGAAAACCATCCAAAGACAGACTGGAGTGTCGGCACCACCTGCCGCGATCCCCTCCACCAGCGCAGCCTCCCGGGTCCTACCACTTTGCAGGGCATCCGTCGCGGCCACAGCCCGCGGCTGCTACCCCTGGATCCACCAGCCTCTGCCTGAGCTCTGCCGAGTCCTGCACCCACATCGTATGTTGTGCAAAACATGGATCACAGACCGTAGTGGTGGCCCAAGACTGTCAGCGATCCCCTAGAAGCTTCTACGAAGCCTGCCCCGACTCATGGCACCTCGGGACAAGGACCGCACACCGAGAAGGGGTGCTGCGGCGGGATCAGCTGCCTTGGCCAACCGAGCTCGAGGACGAGGCAGGAGCATGGCGAAGGCGAAGGCCACGGCAGCACCAGAGGCAGAGGCGCCGGAGAGCTCCAGCGAGGCTGGCGCTCAGCAGCCCAGAGGACGAACCAAGTGCACCAGCAACAGGTTCAGCTCCACGCGGACCCCCGCCTCCAACTCCGGTCAACCTTCCACCACGACCAGCTGCAACGGTGCCAACGACCTTCACCGCATCACCTGCGGCCGCTGTGGCGACTACCTCTCCTTCCATGCCGCCGCCCTCGATGCCATTGCCAGCAGCACCGACTATGCTCCCTACGACGACTGCCCTATCGAGCGGAGACACCATGCTATCCTCCTCGACTACAACTTCGAGACCACCCGCACCTGGGCCACATGGGGCAGTACACGGACCGCCTCCCCCTACCCCAGCTGGGACTCACGGCCGACCTGCTGGAAGTCACCCAGGCGGAGCGCCACCTGTACCGAGACCTAGACCTGTGCGAGCAGCAGGCTGGCTGGCCGGAACAGCAGGCATCACCATCACGATTCACATTCGACCTGGTGCTCCATAGTCACTGGCAGCTAGGCAAGACAACAGGATCCGCCCTTCTTCCGGTAGTGCACTCGGACGCTGGCAGCCATCCGATACTTCTGTGGCTCGGTCACTCCTTCTGCTACTCCCAGGCCTGTGCCGCCAGTGACACATCACTCAGCCGGAACCTTAATGATGCGGTGGCTCGGCAGTCTTCCCTGGCTGCCGCACTGGCACCGCAGTCCAACGCTCCAAGCCATGCCCGGTGCGACAGTCACGTCTGGGGTAACTGCCCCTGCTCCTCTATTGGAGGGGCCAGTGTCGCACATCAGCAACGGTCCAGAGCCTGGCGCGCAGGTACTCCCGATAGGACTTCCTCACCATCAGGGTCAGCCGATCACAACCTGGCGCCGGACACGCAGCGGCCTCGGCCCCCAGCCTGCTCTGTGCAAAGCCAGATACTGCAAGCACCAGCGTCTGTGCGAATCGCATCTCACCCACGCTGGCTTAAGTGCTCACAGCAGTACACATTGCAATATACATGCATGAAAACACGGGAGATATGGTGTCAGCCCAACTTTTCTCCCCCGGCGAAGTGTACCGACACAACTCCGAAGCACTTTCCTCACACCGACATTGCTGACACAAGGCAATATAGGAGTTGTAGGCCCGGCATCTGTGCCCCTAGAGACCGGCACTGCACAGCATGGCCCCGGTCATCCCGATCAACCCCAAATGGCTGCTGCGGACACACAGGGCTCGCCAGAGTGAACCACGTGGACTTCGTCGCCAACTTAGTATCAACAAGCAGACCAGCAAGCGGGAGCTCCAACGAGCGCGATGGCAAAGGGCGCCACCTCCGGTCACGGTCTTCTCGCTGGTCATCGCCCGCTCTCTCAGGGCCGTGCACAGGGACCAGAGGCCAACAAAGGAAGGCACCGAGACCTCCCTGCAGGAAGACCCGGACCAAGCTGCAGATGACGAAGCCCAGGCTGCTCCAGAAGCCCTCGACAAGAGCCTCCGATCCGAGCCCTCCTCCTCCTCTTCGAAGACCCGGGGCCCCCAGCTCAAGCCGGCAACTAAGAGGATGCCTCGGCTTAAGCCGACAACAAAGAGGATGCCTCGGCTCAAGCCAACACC